TTTGTACAGAGAACAATGATACAAGAAAGAGGCATATGAGATTGAAAATTATATTCACACACGACCTTACTTAGCAAAGGAATGAAGCTCAAGTAGCCATGGGACACAGAAGTAATGGGGGCATGACCAATACCTCAATATGCAATCACTGAAAAGTTGGAGAGCTGATAAATAGAACTGACTGAATCAAGACTGTTGAAGAGATTGGTCCCAGGAAAGGACGGTGACAAGGCAGATTGATGGGAACCAGGAATGCAGTATCACTGGTTGCTTGGACAGGATAGCATGAAAAAAATACATGTTTCAACCAAGGCTTCAAACCACCAATGTCATCAATATATATATATATATATAATATGTCATCAATATATATATACTGTATAATATGTCATCAATATATATATACTGTATAATATGTCATCAATATATATATAATATTCAGAAAAATAAGAGAAAATGTTGTTTCTCCCACCATGGCAACATGCTTTGAAATAACAAGTTGCCTAACTTGTTAAATTCATCTCTTGTTGTTATTGTTCACAGAGAAGTGAAGGAAGGTGCACTGAAATCTCACACAGACCATGATTAACCATAAGGCAACCCTAGGTGGCAGCCTAGAGCCCAGAATTTAGGTAAGGGCTCTGAACCTATAAATTGGATAGGTCCCTTTACCATCCCTATGTGAACAAAGAAGGGAAGCCCAAAACTGGTAACTTGCCTAGAGCCGTTTCATGATATTGCTTGAGTATATAATCCCTGTCTTACAGTTCTCATTTTATCGATGTTTCTTTATGTGTGATCTTCCATAGAGATCACACATGAAGTCTAAAGTATCACTTTTGACCGACAAATATCCAGCTGCCTTTAACCAACAAGGAATTCTCATACTTTGGTACAGGATGGGCAAAGGAGGACATTTAGTAAAATTTTGTTGTGTTACAGGCATTTAGCCAGCTTGTGTTTGCATTTTATTGTGGCTTCTATACTCATTCACAGCACCCTTGAAGATGTTGTTCACCTGACATTGGGATTAGATGGGCTCGTAAGTGAATCACAGCATTTAAGCTGTGATAGATATTCTTTCCTATCTTGTTTATTTTGGTCTAATTTGGCAAATGTCTGCTGCTTCTTAATGAAAGTAAATCCCAACAATCACTTGTAGTTAAAAAGCTTAATGAAAAGTCATGTTCATATGGCTAAGAATGAAGTGATTTGCACTCTGATAGAGGTATATCATTCTACACGCTGCTAAACCTAACAATATCAATGTGTTTTTGAGAATGTGAGAATGTTAGCTATGACAGAATAATCTACAGATTTATGAAAACACATTTTATAGTTTAATCTATAATTACTCTATTACGTGTGTGCATGGAACATTTTATTCAATGGAACAGGAAGGAACAATCAGCCACTGGCACTCGAACTGTCGTTCGCCCACAAAACAGAGAGTCTTGCTATTTATGATCTTTTAATCAACAATTAATGAAATCAATATTATGTGCCAGAGATCAGAATGTCCTTTTGTTATTTTTCAGTTTAAATGGTATCATTAAGTTATAAATGCCATGAATCTGCAGACTGTGCCAATATGTGTTTTTCCTGCACGTGTTGTACCAGGAACTCTGAATATTATACCATGTGTCTGTAATTTAAAGCTCACATTGGATCATAATTTCATTTGATAATAACTTTAACTAGAGGAATGGCATCATCTGAGTGCCAATAGATACAAATGAACTTAGAAAGACATAGACATGATAGATAGACTGTCTCAGACATACATACATACATATAGACAGACTCTTAGAAATATAGATAGACATGTAGATAGATATACAGACAAACTTATTGGAGAGATGGACAGACACATTAGACATTCCTATAGACAAACAGAGTGACATGATAAATATACCCACACACTTATTAGATGGATATACATGGCAATGGGGTTTTAATCAGAAACTTTGGAGCCCTTACACAGCTCAAGACCTGAGCCAATAGGTCCTACCCCTGATTCCACATGGATAAGTGTGCCTGTGTATAGAGTATGCAATGTGTGTGTGTATGTGTGTGTGTGTGCATAGTGAATGCAAGGTGTGTGTGTATGTAGTGGATGCAGTGTGTGAAGTGGATGCAGTGTGTCTTTGTATAGTGGATACAGTGTGCGTAGTGAATGCAGTGTGCAGTTAATGTATGTGTGTGTGTAGTGTGAGTGTGAATGCAGTATATGTGTTTAGTGCATGCAGTATGTGTATGTGTAGTGAATACAGTGTGTGTACTGCAAACATTGTGCACAGTGCATGTAGTGTGTGTAGTAGTCAATGCAGTATGTGTAAAGAATGTAGTGTGTGTGTGTAGTAGTGAATACAGTCTGTGTAGTGCATGCAGTGCGTGTGTGTAGTGATGCAGTGTGTGTGCGTGTAGTGAATGCAGTGTGTGTAGTGCATGCAGTGTGTGCGTGTAGTGAATGCAATGTGTGTAGTGCATGCAGTGTGTGTGAAGTAAATGCAGTCTGTGTGAAGTGGATAGTGTCTGTAGTAGATGCAGTGTATGTGTACCTAAAGTGAAATGTAGGCCATGTGCTTGCATATTATTGTTATTAATAATATTTATAAAGCGCAAACAAATTCAGCAGCGCTGTACAAAGGGTGGACTAACACACAAGTATTTATAACCAGACATGTTGGATGCACATGAACTAGTGTAGAATAAAGTTTTCTGTGGGCAGTATGCATTTAAAAATATTTATTTATTTTACCTTCTCCCTGCTTCCTACCTGTGGCCAGGGAGAGGGGATATTGCAGTCCCTGGTGGTCATGTGGCACCGGGAAGGCTCCTGCAGGCATGTATACAGAAGAGGGGGCCCAGACTCCATCTTCCACCTCCAGCAGCCAAGAAGCAGCCATTCTTCCCTCTCACGAGCCTGCCTGGCATGTGTGCCACATGGAGCATTGGCAACACTAAAACAGCCTGAAATTAAGATAGGAAGGTCCCAGAGGAACAACTAGGAGTCTGCTGAACTTTCTCTTCACTATGTAAGCCAGAAGGAACCCGCAAGCGAATATATTTAATTGCTATATACATGTTGGGGGTATAGGGCTCATACGTTGTGCAAATGTACCTCACTGCTTAAGGCAAAATAGACAGACACACCTGTGAGATAAATAGATAGATAGATAGATAGATAGATAGATAGATAGTGGGGTATTAGCTCAAATGGTAGAGCGCTCGCTTAGCATGTGAGAGGAAGCGGGATCAATGCCCGTATTCTCCATCTCTTCTATTTAGAAAATTGGGCAGACTAGATGGGCCAAATGGTTCTTATCTGCTGTCATGTTTCTATAGATATCTACTATATGGATAGACTAACAGAAAGATGGACAGATGGGGAGCTGCATTAATCACCTAATTTCTCCCACAGTGGATTCTCACTCTTTCTTTCTATTTCACTCTTAATTACTTTTTATAGCATATCCCATATCTTGTTATATTCATATCCTCTCTTCCATTTAAGCAACTCTACATCAAAAGTTGAACAAATAGTAGGTCATTATATAGCATTCCGGTGGGATTTCATTTGGGTAGAACTTCTGAAAAATAATACAAATATTATTGTATCGTGGGAAGAATTTGATATACAATAAATAGATATCTCATTCAGCTTGATAGTCAGACTGACAGAGAGACAGACATATGTGAATTCCAGTGACTGATCATATGAAGACATGAATAGTCAACCTGACATACGGACAGCAGATAGACAAATGCACAGTTAAAACCAATGTCTGCTAAGGACTTGTTCTCCCACTGGCCGCTTGCAGCCATCATAAAACAACGTCCTGAGCGTGAGCAAGTTGCATGAAATCGATTTAACAATGCAATCAATGTAAAACAGCCAGCATATATTTACAAATTCAGTTTTAGCCAATACATATAAACCCAGCAAAACCGTTAAGGCTTGCTTGTGTTTCTCGTCCTCTAAATAAGTACAATTCACTCAATATTGATGGAAAGCTATAATAATAGGAGAGGGCAGCTGGAGAGCTACAGGATGAAAAAATACAGAGAAAGGATTGGAAAGCTTTGCACATAGCACATATACAGCTTAAACAAATGTTCACCAGCTTATATTGTGTTCTACACAGAACACATAAAGAATGTATTTGCATTGTTATTTGTAAGCTGTTTGTAACCGATGAGATTTCTGTAAGATAGAAGATTATTATTATTATTATTATTATTATTATTATGTTTGGCATTTATATAGATAGATTAATATAGATAGATACTAGACAGTAGCTGGATGGATGGACAGATGAGAAGCTGGATGGATCACCCAATGTTTCCCTTATATAGACAGATAGACAGAAAGATAAGTGGACAGATGGGAAGATGTATGGATGGACGGATGGATGTATGGATGGACGGAAAGGTGGCTGGATGGATGGATGGATAAGCGGACAGTCAAATAGATGAATGGATGGATGGATGGAATAATACAAGGATGGACAGATGGATGGACAGAAGGACGGATGGGTGGACAAATGGATGGAGATGGAGATATTTTTACTACAGTGGGAGTCTGCAAGGGCACTGAATAAGTCACAGGCTGCTAAAGACTAGTGACTCAGAACAGTAGAAAGAAAGACTTTGAATGGTACCACATGGACTTCAATGTGTGGGAATAGGGGATCACATCCATAATAAATATATTTGGTAGTTCCCAAGAAAGTGGTACCAGAGTGCTCATCAGCAATCTAAAAATACTCAATATATGAACCTTCAGCATCTATGCACAATTTGCATTCATATGTATCACCAAATCTACATATAGTGTAACTCTAGTCAGCACATAACTACTCAGCAATTTAAGTGATCTGATCAAATCAAAATCATCTAGTTTTGAATGTTTTTCCATTGCTTGTGACGTGAGTACGGACATTGGGGGCGTAGCTCAGTTAGATGTGTTTCTTTGTGCTTGCAACACGGATTTTAACATGTTTGAGGAAATGTTGGAACTAGTACCAATGTGCGGCAATACTACAGGACAAGATATATTTATTTGTATTGATGAAGTTCTGCAAAAATACAATCTACCGCTGTCAAAATTAACTTCTGTAGCTACAGATGGAGCTCCTTCAATGACCGGAAAAACAACGGTTTTGTGGCATTACTGCGAAAAGAACAAAGTGAGATTTATGAAGCATCCAAGATTCATCATACACATTGCATTATACATCAAGAAGTATTATGCACGAAGGTAATAAACATGGAAAATGTGTTGACATCTATAAAAAATATCAATTTCATCAGATCTCGAGGCTTAAATCAGTGATAGTTCTCTGCTTTCTTAAGTGAATTAGAAAGTGAATCCTGCTCCATGGTTCTTAAACAATTCTGGGACTTGAAAGAAGAAATATGTCAGTTTTTAATAACTAAAAAATCAGGACACACGCTTGTTTTCTGATCCAGTATGGTTGCAAGATTTATCCTTCATGGTCAAGATAACAAAACACTTGTACAATTTAAATTTATAACTGCAAGGAAAAGATCAGATCATTACGAATGATCATTACGAATATGTGACCAAGTTAAATCATTCAAATGTAGGCTAGTTCTTTGGGAAAAGCAATTGAAAAATGAAGATTTAATGCACTTTCAGACATGTAACATGAACAAATTAAGTTCAGATGAAACTGCATCGTATCAAAAATACGCACAACAAATTTTAAGCCTTAGAACTGAATTTGAAACAAGGTTTGCAGATTTTAAATCTTTGAAAGACAAGTTTTGTCTGTTTTCTTTGATTTTCTCGATAAATATAGACTCAGTACCTAATCATAAGCAAATAGAAGTAACTGAGATCCAGTGCGATTCAGATTTGAAGGCAAAATTTTGTGAAGTTGGCGTGCCTGAATTTTACAAATATTTGCCAGCCAGGTTTGAAGATAATTGAAAACTTGCATATGATATTATTTCCATGTCTGGAAGTACTTATCGGTGCGAACAGTTATTTACACTTATGAAAGGAAATACGTCTCCTGTCAGATCCAGAATTACAGACATTCACCTTGGGTCAGTTTTGAAAGTGATCACTGTAGTAGGGAAACTAGTAGCACAGAAGGTATGCCAATTATCTGGAAGAAAACAAATGTTATTGTTGTTCTTGTTCTTGTACCTCCCTGGACTGCTAAGGAAGGGAGGTACCTGAATGATGCCAGAGCTAAGAGGTTGGGACCAAACGGGATACATTTGAAGCAGTATAGATAAGGGATAAAAAGGTGGGAGGAGGGAGGGGACTCACCAGTCCATCAGAAGAAGTGTGGGGATCCTAGCTTGTGAGAATCCTGGCCAGCATAGTACAGTGGAAGAAGGTGCAGAGGTGGCTTGGGGAGTCGCAGTGTAAGAAATTATGACCCTCTTACCAGGATATTCTTTTAGGGAATGTGTGACAAATAAGACACAAACACAAGTGTATAATAAAATGTATTGTAAATATTCATTTAAGGATACTGTTAGATTTTAAAAGGATATACACAATATACATTATACATTATATCCAGTACTTAATCAAAAGCTACATAATAAAAGGGCAATACTTAAACATTTAAATGCAGGTCTTCCCCTTGCGCCTTCATCTTGGGTAATCTGGGACAGCCTCTTTCAGTTCACCATGGCCCTGCTTGCTGCGCTGTCCTCTACAAAGAGAAAGAGAGAGAGCCTCATTGGCTGTTGTCCTTTTAAAGACTCATTCTTGCTGTGATAAACTACAAGTCCCAGAATCCCTTTTCTCTCCCAAAAGTGGTTTATCTTGCCCTCGTCTTCCATAGAGCTTGGGAAAACACACACTTCCATGGTTACACCTAGATGTTAATTACTCTGGTCTTCTGATAACATGTATGGGAACACTGGTTGGCAGGAGAACTGCTGGAGGGATGTAAGCTTTTGTCTTAGCTGGGTGTTGTAAAATGCCACTGAAAGCTTTGATCCTTATCACACTTTTATCCAGGAGATGACCCCAACTTGTGAAACCAGTCACATACACAGAATGTTATATACAATATTGCAGTTTTGTATATCAATTTCTTACAGCAGCTTGCTGAGAGCTGATGGCGGAAGCAGACTACTCCGGACTCTTGGATTAGCTTATGGTAGAGCTTTCTGTTGGGGAAGCATTCCAACAGCCAACAGGGTGATATATTTGATGGAATTTGATGTTTAAAATACTGGTTGGCAGGAGAACTGCTGGAGGGATGTAAGCTTTTGTCTTAGCTGGGTGTTGTAAAATGCCACTGAAAGCTTTGATCCTTATCACACTTTTATCCAGGAGATGACCCCAACTTGTGAAACCAGTCACATACACAGAATGTTATATACAATATTGCAGTTTTGTATATCAATTTCTTACAGCAGCTTGCTGAGAGCTGATGGCGGAAGCAGACTACTCCGGACTCTTGGATTAGCTTATGGTAGAGCTTTCTGTTGGGGAAGCATTCCAACAGCCAACAGGGTGATATATTTGATGGAATTTGATGTTTAAAATAAATAAAGCTGTGGCCATTGCCCTTACCCAACAAACCTAGGTCTCACATGTGTTATTGGGCAACGGGATGTTGGGGGTCAGCAGTCATGAAACAATAACAATGTTATTCTATGAAAATGTTAGCGTTTTTTTGTGCGACCCACATAAACCTTGTTAGCCATTGAGTTTGACATGTCTGATCTACAAGATTATCAGCAAAGGACAATACAACATATAAAAACTTCACAGCAGAACCCAGTATAAGGAATTAACAATATAACGCCCCTTGCATTAAGCAAAACAATTGTTGGTTTATTAATTAGTTTAAATATCAACCAACCCTGCCAAGGACATACCATCAGTTTAACTACAATAAGCCAAAATATATAAAGTTTCTGATACCTTTAGGATATATATATATTGAACCGATATACATCTAAAGAAGGAATCAAAAATGTTCCAACTTAATAAGTTATATCTGACTCAGACTGCAGGTAGAATGAGATATAAGTATTCTATCAATAGGATGGAATCAGTTCACAATATAGACATTGGGACTTAAACCTGGCTTTTGATTGGTTATGGGCATATCTTAATATTTAATTAATAATGTAGCCCTTAGGGACTTTTAGAAATGCCATTCGAATAAGGTTTTGACTGGTCAGCCACAAGGTGATGCCCCAAAATAGTTCCACAGAAAACAAGGCATCTTTTGGGGTTCTCACATGAACACAGAGGAATGCTCCCAATGGCTGTTAGGAAGCAAATGCTCCTCCTGTTCAGTAGTTCATGTCTCCTGACGCTGTTCTCCTAACTGTTTGGGAAGTTGAATGAGCAGCAGTCGAAGTCGCATATCGAAGTTACAGTTCCATGCCGTTGACAACCATGTAACGTTACCTGCGTTAGGGAGACAAAATTGCCGCCAATTCTTGGAGCACTTGGATTCAGTTATATGAACGGCGGCCACACAGGAAAAACACCTGAACTATTTGCTCATTTGTGGTTAATAACGGCCAGGGGTGGTCAGTGATTAGGAGTTGATAACAAGGGGACCACCCAGAGTTGGTTCGGTAAACAAATTGTGGGTGTACAGACAGCCAAACCTCCAGAAATAAAAGTTTATTTAGGGGAACCATTCCACTACAGTAGCATTTCATAGAATTTTTTATATGAGCCAGAACAATCTTTTTGACACATGGGAGTGCATTACAATGTGGTGTCAGTAATCAATCGATAACATTTTCTTAATTTTGGCAATTGAAATGTATATAAGAAACTTTCATCCCTCACCTATTCACAGCGACAAAAAGGCAAGCCACCGTGACCTTCTAACAACAACCTCAGATGTGGTGAGCAGCCTAAGGAATGCCGGGCCAAACTTTTCATTACGTTTGACACTGCACACACCATCCAATATCCATTAGAAAAAAATCTAGCTTTCAAGAAACAGGGTTGAAAATCCCATTGATTACTATACTTGCGCATGGGGAGAAAATGTGACCTGGCCAAACCATCTTTTCCAAAACTAGAAAGCGTTTTGGAACACCCAAATATATTGGTTCGGCTCGGCAGAATTTCAGAACCGAGATTCTGATTTGGAAACCAAACAACAAAAATCACACAAAACAGAAGGTAATAGCTATTACTGTCTACCTGCTCCGTGAAACCCAGATGTGCTTCTTTGGGCAGCAGTTCATACATCATTGCCACTTCAATCATAGACAAGGTGAAGTAAATGTTTGACTTTTTTCTTCAATACTTTGTTACACAATTTCTCTGTGCATAAGATTCCATTATGCTCATTAGATTAAGAACAATGCTGCAAGAGTGAAAACCATGTAGCAGAAATGGCTTAAAAATGTGGAGCTGATGTGGATTTTCCAACCTGCATCCCCTTTAGAGAAGAATGGAGCAATGGAACTGTGGAAACGTAACTCACAAAAAAAAAAAAAAGGAGAATGTAAGCAAACAAATCTAATCCATCTTGCCACAGATAATCTTCCAATAAGTATGTAGTGGAGCTCCCTGTATCCCAGCTGGGTACCTGTGCCAAGTGGACAAACCGCAGCACTTCTGCCCACAGTCGTCGTGGTTTGACTGGGGCCCTGGAACCGCTCCTTCCTGGAGCCTAATGGGAATTTGCTCTAGAAAGCCAGAGGCACTGAACGACATTCAGTCCTGGGAGCTCTAGTCCTTACAGGAACTTTCCCTGTTGAATCCCCTGCAAGCTGGAACAGCAGACACAGGAGTAAATCTTTTTTCCCTCCAATAACAGGACGACACACAGTTTTGGAGTGTAAGCTGGAATAAATTTTAATGGTACCACACTTGGCCTTATATGACAATCCCATGTAAGGGGTACGCCCACATAGACCTTGTTGGGGACTCCAACACAAAGACACAGACTTATAAGAACAATGATTAAATGCACTACACTCCCAGATACAATACAATAAGCCTTCCCCTTTACTTTGGAGATAATTGAGTCAAGCACTATACTAAACTCAATTATCTCTAAACACTAAAAACACATTTTTATAAAAAAAAAAAACGAAATACCTTAAAACACATAAAACCCCTATAAATTAGTTACATCCCCTGATAGCCCTGATCTGGGTGACCAACATGTCCAAAAATCACCCACATCAGTTCAGGAGTTCAGAAATTTTATGAAAGTCATAGTTTACCGACCGCAGGCATGGTCCCATAGCCGAAAATAGTTCCATAAAATCGCGCCTAAGTCCCCCTGAAGTCTATTCGCAGTTTTGGTGCATGAGAACAAGATGGCCGCCACCTCGTGGTCATCCATAGGAATTGCAGCCACCCAGATGAACACTTAGACTACTGCGGTAGAAATTGCAAAAATGTATCAATTAAGCTTAACAAGCACCAGGGTGGTCTCCGGTTCATGCGGCTGTTCAGTTACAGAACGATATAATTCCAATAGACAAACGGAGACTTTTATATCATAGTTTACAGGGTCCATAGTCTGTGGGCAGGAGGCTGGCAAGCAGGCCCCTCCAAGAACTTGTGGCAAACTCACTTGAAAAGGGGAGTTTGTCACAGAGTACATTGAAGAGTCATTATAATAAAGTTAGGAGAAGAGAAAACAAGGGTGGAACAGTAATTCTGGAGATATATACAGAAGTTTGTTGTGACAAACATATTTAGGTATTTATTTCCACACGGTCTCTAGAAAATTACATAATAATTTTTGGAGAGCACTCATTTTTACTGTCTATATGCTACCCAACCAAGAAATATGACATCTATTCCAAGTGAGCAAATTTCTGTTGGAAGACATGAATATGGGAAATAAGTAGTGTTTTTTGTTCTTTGAATCCGCAGTAGTGAAGGGATTTATGACAAGTAAACATTGCAATGTACAATGAAAGCAGATAATTATTCTCATGGAGAGAGCTTTCTTTTTTAGTCATGCTCAGAATCTGTCACAAAGATCATCAACTGCCATAATACATTTTTCCACCCAAGGGGGTTGGCAGATGGATGTTCGCTGTAGGGCTAGAGCGGTGGCCATTTTAACATAGGCCTCAGAGATAATGTTGTGCAGGACAATTAGCATTAGCCGATAACCACTTTGGTGAGGACCTGGATAACCCCACCAGTCTAAGGAGCTTTTTGCAGTGCTGATGCTATGTAAGAATGTGGAGCTGGTTGCATCTCATGCAGGTTTATAGGCAAGAACAGGAAAAGTACAGGGGAACACTTGATCAATCCAGGAAAAAAAAAAGATGCAAATCGATCCCAGTCCTCTTTAGGCAAAATTCAATAGGATAATGTCAGGCTCGGGGAGGAACCTAAACATGCAGACTATAACACAATAAATAAACAAGCTGTATATACGTTCTTAGAGTGGCCGGGCTAATGGCATAGTAGTCAGAGAGAATGCCAAGGATAAAGACAGGAGAGATCCGGATAAATGTTATAACAAGCCAAAGTCAAAGGACTCCAGAGATCAGGAGATTTGCGCAACAGGACACAAGGTACGCGTTCTTGGGCTACCAGAACCACAACAGGGCAACATAAAGCAGAAGAGGTAAGTATATATAGGCAGTACTTACTTTCTATTGGCCCACATCATAGCTGAATTTAGTATAATTCGTGGGTGATAGAAAAGTTAGACTGATTAACATCATCTTTGTGCACCGATTTCAGTCCTCGATTTCACCAGTCGGATCCAAATTCATATTGGCAAATTCGCCATTCAGAACCTAATTTGGCTCACCATATCCTTATAGCAGGCACGCTTTCAGTGTCACAGAGTACGCTGGGGGATTCAGGTGCAAGGTAAGCGATCCCATCAAATAACTGCTGGAAATAGCAATAATCTTCAAGATTTATGCTTAATTTGAGTTTGCAACCCAGGAACTCTGCAATCAGCATCTTGCTCAAGAATCAGTCAGGTACAGACCCAATAAACCATTTTATATATAAGAATTTTTCTCTTCACCGGACTTAAAGCACTTGAGAGCATACTGATTAAACATATGTTCCTCTTTAGAGAGACCTCTAATGTCTTTGTTTTAATAACGATTTAATAACGAGTGAATGGATGGTTATACAGCAAATCATTTTCACATTTTCTGATCTTAATTCTTTGATAATATGCTAAATATCTTTATGACTCACAAAAAGGTCAAAAATAAGGTTGTTTTTTTTAAATTACCCTCAAGGAAGCCAACCTGACAGCCAAGCGTGAATTGCCCAACCTATAATAATCTGTTAATTTGCATTCAGTGAAAGGTAAAAAAAAAAAAAGATTCATTACAGCTTCCTATTCAACTAATTAGGCATGCATATAGAGTTGGTTTTCTGGTAGAATCTAATGAAAATCAGTTTTACCCTGTAATTAGTGACAAAGACCATCTGAAGACACCCCTCATTTTGCATTCCAAATATCGTGCTGAGGCTGCATAGTCGCTCTGTGTTGTATTTGTCAAGTCAGTTTCAGGGTCCTGCTCGTCTATCCGAGCACAGAAAGGAAGTTACTGTCCATATAAGGTCTTTTAGGAAGCACATCCTACGGTTTAATCCTAGCAGACAGTCTCTCGGCAATTCTATACCTTCTCTGCTTCTTTGTGCTCAAATCTGTCTGTAATGTAATAATTTCACTCTTATATTGCGGGTTTTTATGTTTCTGTCAATCTCCCAGCTGTAACCCTAACTTTAATTAGAGAGGTCTGTGCTTTTTATCAACCGTATTCCCTCTCTGACATTTATCTAAAATATAATGTTCTATATAATATTCCAATTATCTCTCCATTCCTATTCTGATTACAAAGAGAATTTGAAGCAACACTTCAAATGGTTTAGGAAATGCCGTGAACTGGAGGAGCTGAAGATTCTACATTCATTTTGTTATCAGAAATATTTCACAAATAACTGGATGCTGTACATATCTAGATATATATCATACCTGAATATAACCACTTCCAAAACATTTATATGTGTTTAAAGTATTGTGTTACATTTTTAATAATAAATTATTTTGTTAAAATAAATTCTACTTTCATTCATACCTGCTCCCGTGTTGTTCCTCACCTTGTCTAGTAACAAATTTCGAAGGGTAATTCCCTCTACCTATGTAGAGGGGTGTTGTAAAACCTTTCCTCCGAAAAGTCAAAATGTTTACATCTGGGGGTGCAGGAGATAGGCCAATATGCTCATGGAAGATCAAACGATCTGTTTTTAGCCATCAATTGTACTGTTTATTTGTAAACAATATTATGAGAATAATATTTATATAGAATGCTTTCACAACTAGCAGTGGTACAATACATGGCTGACTTATCGCTAACAATAAGTCTCCAGAATACGTTGCTCTGTGCCCTCTACTGGCAAGAAGTAACACCGGTGCATTACTTCTAATATATCTGCTTTACCTGTGTATTCTGGGAATATAATGCCTTGAAAGAGTTCTGGAGGGATTATAATTAGCCGCAAAACTTTTACAAGCCATTATTTTCCTATAAAAATACTTCAGTGTAAGGTGATGATTTTTTTAAAGTTAGTATCACGGTTAGGATTCTAGGATTCCTTTATCTTAGAAGAGGACATGGTCATATATACTGGTGGGAGTTAGACTATTTGCTGTCGCTGTTCCTATCTCCCAAATTCTTGTCCTGGAACTAAAGGGAAAGAGACTGAATTAATATTATCAGCTGCACATATCAGTTACTCACAAAAATCACTCGCCAAACAGGATATGTCCAGAGTGGACCTAAAATATCATTGTGGATAATATATGGTACTCATTGTTACATGTATATACATTCTGAATTACTGAGGGATATACATAATCCATTTTGTATTGTAGTAAATGAGATAATTTCACACTCTGTCCAGCATAACCTCTACAGTTCATTGTAGTGATTATGGTGCAATGAGTATTCATGGGTGAATCCAAATGCATGAAATTTAATATTTTAATTTTGTTTTACTTTTCTCCTTTCCCTTAGTAGAGCTACCTGTGCCAGTTTAAAGTATTTACACTTTTTTGAGAGTCATAAAACTCTAACAAATGTGAGCCGACTGTTTTATATATGTTGGAAGAGCCGCAACTGTCTCCACTTTTTCTTTTTGGAGTCAAGCATTTAAATTATTTGCATTTTATGATAGATTGCCATTTTAAAGACTATCTTAGTTTTGTGTTTTTTTATATGTGTCTATCCATTGACGTATAGTAGAATACCTCTAAAAAATGAGTTTTATGTTAAAATGTTTGTGACTCTATGCCCAGCTGTGACTAAATATGGCATGTGAATATAATTTGTATTCTATTCAGCGGAGTCAGAATGAATTCCAGTAAATATTCAATAATTTAAATTACTTTAAATCTAAACTTTAAATATTATTTATAGAGGCTCATTCATAAAAAATATAGCATTTTTGGACTGTGGAATAAGAGGGTGGAACAGATGGAGAAAATGGAAAATATGCCCTAGAGAAAATCCGAATGCAAGCGATTAACTTATTACAATATCGAGAATGGAAAATCTGAACAGGAATCTCTGTTAGCCAATGCCAAATGCACATTTTATATTTCCAATTCTGTCTAATGTCCAAATAGTAAATTAAAATTATGTTACGTAATTGTTAGAAGGAAAAATGTTGGCGAACAATAACCACTCAGAGCACAATGTAAGGTCAGTGTCAAGTGCATTCTGTTCAAAACGTTACGTTCTAACTAATTTTAATTCTGTAGTTTAAAGTAGACGGTAAAGTAGACTTCTCAAACATGACATAAGAGAAGTTTTCTATACAACAAATAAAATAAGTCATTACCTGTGAATTTTATGTTTGTATTTATGTATGTCAACATATCTACAACTATACTGCCATTGGTGTGACAAAGTTCCAGAATAGTACGGTCTGGAAATAACAGAGACAGTAATGCAAAAAAGTGTAAATGGCCAGTAATATGGCCACATCGGTGTGTTTCAAAATGATGGAAAAAAATTATACAGAAATCTACATCCAAGGTCTCTGTACTTTCCATTGGACCATTGGATTAGCACTTGGAAGAGTAAGTGAGGAAGTTTTTACATAACCATAAAAGACAGAGTCACATGTCTAACCTGACATGAATGCACCTCAAGAAGGGCACTAGAATATGGATACCCGTAAACAACATTTTGAGGTGAAGCCTAATAATCCACACCACTCTGCTGAGGAAACTAATGAGACATAGAATTTAACAGATTGCATAGGAGAGATATTGTACCATGAAGATGCATCTAGAAAGGGACAGACAAGTCTTCACTGTAAGTAGTCCAAGTCATAGACTTCAAAGCCTGGATGTCACGCCGCCCGCCGGGTCTGCTCCTGTCAGAGGGTGGTATGGGACCCAGCGGGCGCACATTGTTGCAGCGGCATTCCCTCACGCTAAGGGGAATACCGTCGAATACTTACCTTTCCAGCAGATGCCCGTTGGGTCCGCTCACGCCCGGGAACGGACTGAGACGCCGTGGGCACTCCTTGGTCTGGCGGCATTCCCACAAGGCAATGGGAGTGCTGCCAATCACTCACCTGAACTTAGTAGTGGCTCCTCCTCCTCATAGCGGCCGGGTCTGTAAACATTAGAAAGTTTTAAGGTTTTTTTTGTTTAACACTTAAAGGGACAGATCATTAATTATGTAGGCGTATCACATGCTTACCTGCAGCCAATCAGGAAGCACCTTAGACTATATAAGCCTGTTTTGTCCATTTCTCTGTGCCCTGTTGTGGTTTCCATTGTGGTTATCCGAGAGCGCGTTCCTTGTATTGATTCTTGTGTATTTGACCTTGGCTTCCCTTTTGACTATCCAATCTCTGTATTCCTTGACCTTTGGCTTGGCTCCTGACTATTCTGATATCTCCTTTCCTTGACTTCATCGTTTACGTTATTTCTACATATTGTCTTTACCCTGTCTTGTGTTTTTTTTGCCTTTATACGTTAAATCCGGCCATTCTAAGGCCCGGTAATACGTCTTAGGTATTTTTTTATTATCTACTGAAGTTCTGCATGTTGGGCATCTACAGTAATCCTGACACTGGAGAATAAGAAGACAGAGCAACAAAACTGGTCACTGGCCAAGAACACCAACTGGTAGAGTCGATAAAGCAGGACGAACTAATGTTTAGAGCGCATCCAGACATCCACACATTAAAATTCATTTTATATGAATCGCACATTGACCTTAGATTCCTTAAATATATGTTCACTGTTTTCAGCACACTGTATGTGTTTCTTTAATGTTTAATGTTGTTATATTGTTGCATAGTTGGATCTTTTATATTATAATGCATTGATTTTGGTGTCATTTCAACCAAATGTGAAGTTCCTCTAAATTGATTAAGTGCTTTGCACGATTGAACTCAGAATTAGAGCTTTATTTGGTAGAGTTATCTCAGTTGGGTTTTCTCAAATTCCTTGTAAAAAAATTTTGGGGGGGAATAATCATTTATAATGTTTCAAATTCCAGTACTCTGTCAAGAATTCTGACATTTTAGTTGTATTAGCAGACACTGAATTGCTCAAACCTGAAATATGCATGTTTCCTGGTTAACCTTTAAATATAACCATTGCCATTAGTGAATACTCAAACTACAGTGTTAGATTATATAAACATGAATGCTATAAAAGGCTCATATCGGAAACTGTGAGTTAAAAACAGGTGGTGTCCTCAGCTCAGACCATGAAGGAAACGGAAGAACGTCTGGCTGTGTGTGCATAATGAAACCAACTGCAAGTAATTAGCTTTCTATGCTATCACAAATGAAAGATCTGGTCCGGAATTTTGCCCACA